ACTTGCTTGCGTTTGCTTTTTGTTGATGTTTCTGTTTTTGTAGCTATTGCTGGATACTGGGCGTGAGAGGGTGTGTCGGCTGTTGGGCCTGGATTTCTGGGGTCAATTGACGAGTGCTATAATTATTGCTGGGTGGTTATTATTGTGTGGGTGTGTATGTTCGGCTGTTTGGTCCAGGATCATGATGATAAAACAAAAAAACCAAGCTAAGGTGTCACATGTAGCCGAGGACGGCTTGTCGCAAAAAACATTGAAGGATTAAAGATACAAGTCATGCCATTCCATTGGATGGGATGGTCTCATGTCTCAGAATCTGATGCTATCAGCAACTCTACTTCTTCCTGCTGACACAGTCATAACGTCCTATTCGACCACAAAGAAAAGGCCAACTATGTCCCTTCCAATTGATTCACGTCATTGGCTAGTCAGAGAAGAGACGGGAAAAGTACGAACCAGTTGTGAGATAAGGTGTAATCAGACATCCCCAAACAAAGATAAAGCGCCTACGGTGTGACTGTGACGGCTAGTTCCAATCCATCGGTTGGATTGAAACACGCGTACGCGCCAGCCTAGCAGGGAGTCCCATGTTGCGAATCCCGGTACATGCGTCGCTTGGCACTTTGTGGCATTGTTTCTCCGCGCAGATCGACGGCGACGTCAAGACGGTCTACAACGGAGATACTATCAGAGGATCAGAAGCTACCCAAGTGAGCAAGAGGTTGGGCAAACGTGGGCGGCTTCGAGCAGCTCGAGTCAGTCCAGAATTCCACTCGTCTAGACGTTACTACTTTGCTTTGCCCCATTGTGGCGAAGGTCAGGAATAGAAGTGGTAAGAATGATGTAGTGGGATGGGCTGGTGGAGTCGAATAATTTAGCCCATACTGGGTAACGACGGTCAAGCGACAGAGGTAATTTGTAATTCCAGCCACAATTTACAGAACGACAGACAAGTGAGAGAGCTTGCTTACCTGAGTATTAACTAAACTAGCTTCCTCCATGCAGTCGGAGATGTCAACCCCCAGAAATCCGCACAGGGCTGCGAATCCCCCATTTTGTCGGGGGGGGGAAGAACATCCAGATTGTTCTTCGGGAAGTTTTAGAGGGCTCCTGGACCCAGCGTAAATTGAGCCTATCGTTTACTAGAGTCTGGTAGTCTGCGATCGTAGGACCGAAAAGCTGCAAAATTGGCGCGCTGGTTCTGGTTGCTCGCAGCTCCATCCGCGGTCGCGGGGGCGAACAAGCAGGGCGAGGGCGCTAGAAGGACTAGAAGCGCGCGAGAAGAATGCGAGTTGCACAATAATACGTAACGGAGGCGGGTAACAGTGGATTTGCCGGATCATGGATCGTTATTAGGGGGCCCCACTGCCCCTTTCAGCCAGCCGATTTCCCCGGTGACCAAAGGGAAGGAAGACGCGAGTGTGCCAAAAGATCAGAGGACGGAAAAGAAGTCCAGCGGGAAATGAAGGATAAGGAAGTAGAAAAAGTAAAGACAGACAATGTCTTGAGGTCAGCTCGGATTCGCTTAGTAGATAGTTGACCTGTGTATGTTGATTGCTCACTCAGAGACGACAAACGAGGGCCAGAGGTGACAGAAACCGGTGCTAATCTCTCTGTGGCTGACATGAATCAAACCAGGAGAAATGGTGGGCCAGGCTAGGGAGGTCCATCAATAAACAGTGATCTTGGTCGCGAAATAGTCTCCCGAAACTACTCCAAACTAAAGTGCAGCAGGTGACTAACTACCGGACGGAAAGCTTCTGGATTGGTTCTGAACCTGGTTAGGTACCCTGGTCCTCCGTATCCCCGGCGGTTACTTACTAGTTAGTAGTTAGTAGGCCAACTTCCCGTAGGGTTGAATGCCTGCTTGCTTACCCATTGCGGATGAAAGCAGAAACAGCTAGCTGGTTTGTCAAAGTACTGAGAGTACTTTTTCATACTTACCTACATACTTCTACGCCCAGGATGATTAAAGTGATAGCCCAGAGCTCTGGACCTTACCTATCAAACCATGGTTGGCGCCATCAAAGTTCGATCATCTCGATCGTACAGTAGTCGAGCTCGATAGATAAGTGCGGCTATGCAGGTACTCCGGCCCTTTCCAGGATGTCTAGCCGTGTTAGGGGGGAGCTACCGACAAGGGTGCGCCGCTCTAAATCTTAGCAGCCACCACTGGTAAATAATAGATCCAGCCCGAAAATTCAGAGACCCCGTTTCATAGGATAAGAGGCAAATATCAATGAGCAAAAAGGGAAGGGAAAAAAAAAAAAGAAAAGAAGAAAAGTCAAAACATCTGCATGGGGTCATGCTGTGCAAAAGCACCCAGACAGACCTAGTTAGCTAGCTATGGGCATCCCATGGAATTTTGAATACGTAGGGTTTCCGGGAAACAGGCTCCTCCCCCCATCCAGGGGCCCCTGACTTTGGTTCTTCCCTTCCACCCCCCCCCAAAAACCACGCGAGAAAGCATCAGGTCAAGCCCCAGCGGACCCATTGGTGCTGGATTCGGATCCATCCGCGGGATCCTGTGAGCGGCTGCCTTCCCCACTCACCTGCACTCAAACCTGCCCGTCGCGTCCGAGGAATCGGTTCCTAGCTTCTGACTGATGTTCTCCGTACAGTCAGTGGAGACCTCAAAATTTCTTCTGTAGTGGTATTTTCCTTTTTCCGTTACTGGTGTGGTGGTCGTCAGAATGATGATGATGACTGCTGAACAGTGGCTAAATTCTCAATGCCATTACAAATTTACAGTACCTTTACTTACTACTATAGTCGGAGAGGTCGGTCCCTTGACTGGTTGGGCAAAGTCTTCTCCGAACTAGGCCATGATCGATGGAATGGATTTCTCTATTCAGAAACAATCTAGGTAAGGTCACTTCCGTTACGGATTAGACGGACTCTTCCTGTGTTTTCCCTACAATTTCCGAGATGAACCCGTGTCTAGGTATCAGCCATCATCGGGAAGGTCTAGTAGTAGTAGCAACTGACGGGGGGAAGGGGGATGGGATGCGGATGGAGAGCCACTTGAGTGACCGGGAATAACATGAGGCGACTCAGACAAAGAAGCAAAGGGATAGGATAAAAAAGCAACGAAAAGGTAAAAAAGATACCAACCTTCACCTGAGCTACCTATTACTTAGTAGGTGGCTACAAAGTTTCCCGTCCGAGAGAGGCGTCACGACGTTGGTGATGGGGGCCAGAAACCCCTAAGAAAAGAAAAAGAAAGGGGGAAATGGATCGCACCCACTCCTTTCACGTACTACGGTACCTTACCTTCGGGACGGGAGAGCCGCCTAGCTATGCTAAAGAGAGCTGTTGCTCGACTACTATTATTGTTGTTATTATTACTATTACTCCTACTGAATGCGTATTTTGCTTTTATTAATTTCTGTGTCTCTCTCAAATTTCTAGTCTTCGCCGTATTACTACGACTCTGTCATTGCTCCGTTTACACACTCTTCTGGCCAGGTTTAGCCTCTTACTCTCTCCGTAGTTTTTCCATTTTCCCAATTGGATTTTCCACCTTTTATTTTTCCCTTTTTCCTTTCTTGAATTTTCTTTTTCTGTTTACTTTTCCTGTCTTTCCGTATCTAGATTAGGTATCTTTCACCTTTATTTTGATTTTCTATTTTTTTTGACTTCCTACTTTCAGAAGTTTAGGTTCTTTCTGTCTAAGTTGGAAATCACCCCAATCTGAGCATTTAAAATTTTAGAATAAAAAAAAATAAATCAACCATAAAGTAAGAAGGTCTAGTCACTATATATCTATGGGATGGACCCCCTTCAACCATCTGGCTACTAAATTCTTCATCCATCCATTCCTAAAATCAATTAAACTCACCCTTCCTCCTCGTCCAGCTCCTCTCCTCTTCCTCCCTACGTACTTTCGCCCATTCCCTTCGCCCTCGGCTCTATTCCCGATCCTCCTCGCCGTGACGTTACCAGGCCGCGTTCCATCCTCCCTTGCGATACGTCCAGTCTAGCTTGGTTTCTTTTTTTTACCGGATTAGACGGAGCTCACTTCCGTGCTCCTTTCCAGGATCACCTCCTTGCCGGCTGCATTAGTCGTCCTCCGTGTCCTTGGTCGCTGGTTCTTGATCAGATCGCGCTTGTTTCCAATTACCATCATCTGCACGTCTCGCGTACTTTTTATCTCTCGTCGCTCTGCCACCTGGAAAAAAGTTCCCAAGGGGAAAGAAGGAAAAAGAAAATAGACGTCTTCGAACCGCATGAGTGTCTAAAGAGGATCAAAAGAGGGTAAAAACAAAAGAAAAAAGCGACCTGTCGACTGGGTTTAAGGACTCCACCCTTCCTCATTCTTACACGCCCATTTCTTGGTACTTCGACAGTCGCATTCCTGCCCTACTCAGATCTGCCTACACTACACCACCCTGTCTCGTCTCCAACCCAGTGTCAGACTTGTGCGCCTTAATAAGGATCCCACTTCCGATCTCACCTGCAGCCTGCATCATCTGTCTGCGTCGTTACCGCCTGTTCGCTGCCGGGAATCGCTTGGGTACCTCGCTAGTCCTACACACGATCTATCAACACGACGCACAGTCAGAATAATAATCGAGCTCTTTTTATTTATTGGTATTTTCTTTTTTGGGGAGGCCCGTCGTGTGTTTATTTAATCTTCCTGTGAGTACACTTCTCCCAGGCTTGAAACACACTTCCCTTCAAAACATCCGCCTTCGCTTTTCTATATCTTTCCCACCGTCTTCCACTCCTTTCCGAAAGAGAAAACCTTCAGCATCTGACCATGGCCATTCGCTCAGAATCTGAAATGATATTGCGAGATCTGTCAGCCTTCAACATGGGACGAGGAGCTTACGACACTACCGGAGTCAAGAAGCCGGGTGCACCACCGCCGCCGCCTTCGACCCGATGAAACCCTTGGAGACATCTGCCAACCACATGCTGCTGTTCTGCTGTTCTCTCGAGCGAAAAGTTATTTGTGACTTGCAACTGGCGCATGGCTCCTGGAGTTTGACGTGACTACTATGAAGTCGAGCTTGTAAGTTGCCTAGACACAAGCATCTCCCCGGGTGGTCTGGTTCCCGACTAACAACGAATCATAGTTCCCTGTACCACTACTATTTCCTGCTCTTACTGCGTTGTCCTTTTGCCGCCACTGGTTTCGGTTTCTACATACTTTCTAATCACGCCCTTTCCGCCGTGGACATTTTTCTTCTCACCATGGAACGACACGGCCACCACCTATTTCTTTTCAATTCTTCGATCGACCATTATTTTTGCCTCCATACACCTTTAATCCGCCGACACGAACCAGCTCAGGTCTATGATCTGTTCCACCAAAAGTGATTTGTCGAGATTTGTTGTTTTTCTACTTGGTCTGCTTTACTACCGGCGTTGGGAATAGACGGAATGGGGTTATTTTCTTTTTGATTTGGGATACATGGATTGATACCAAGACAGACTAGAACGTTGGACCTCGCGGTCAAATACCTGGATTTTATTTTTCTTACAATTTCATCATCATTTGCTCCTTAATACAGTCTGCTGCTAAAAATTGATTCTGAATATTTTCAATGCTTTATTATATTCTAAACCGAGCGAACTTCATCGTGGTTGCGTCAATGTGGATAATTGTGTATGAGTTTGCGCGTATGTGTACACTGCTACTGGCACTGGCACAGATAATCAAAGTTCATGGTTTGGGGGATTATGACTACTGCTACTGCTACTACTACTACTACTACTACTACAATGGCGTGTCACTCCATAATGTGAAAATCGCAGCCCACTGCACCAGTACCGGGGAAACCTGCAAGTCAGCTGGATAAGTGAGGACTTGGGGAAAAGAAATTCGGCACTCGGACGAGACCCCGACGATGACATCTAACCGTGATTGTCTTCAGGGTTGTTTGACGGGAGCCCACAGAGCGACTTCAATCTGATTTGCCGGGGAGAAGGCAGTGGCATTATCTGGGTGGATCCCTGGTCGAGAATCAACAAGTTCTGAACGGCGTGCATGTGCTTCTTTTTTTGGGCAGCCACCGGCTCTGCACAAATCATGTCGTGCAACGTTGGCTCCGTGACACGACTGGATGCCATTGGGGAGGCGTTTCCAACTGTCTGGCTGGCGATCATGGGCCGTTGAGGGACCTATTGGCACGTCATGCTCGGACGCCATGGCATGCTGTTGTTCTGCCGGTCTTTGTTGTTGTTGTTTACCCCGTGCCTACTTTGCGACCTATAGATCTGCACCTTATGGATAATCCTGGCGTTGAGTTGGGCCAGATCGCTTGCCTACCAATCATGGAAGCCCTGATGGTTGTGGTCGGGGTTTGGAGGGTTTCTCTAGAAAGATGATCTGTCGCATTTCCCGCGATAGTCAGGCCCCAATGATGGAATGACAGTGTATGAGGAGATACTATCTATCGTCTGCGTTGGAGCCGGTTGATGTCTCGATGGGTATCGACAGCAGGTGTCACGGGTAAGCTGCTTTGTTTCAGGAAATAGTTTAGGGAAGCAGCAGCTTGCTTTCCCCATGTACGTCGGATGTATCTACAGGTCGACTGTGGGAAATCAACTGGACAGATGGAGATACCAAACAGCCCTAAACCCTTCCAACCTGTGCCTCTCCGCTGTTGTCACCTGGTTTACCCGCAGAGCCACAATTGTCTCATCCTGTGTCTTGTCTGCCTTAATTTTCTCCCCATGGGACCAGTACCCGCGAGGTTCTGACTGGTACCTGAAGCGCACCAAAAATTAACTAATAAAGATAGTAATTTTTCTGTTTGGAGAATTGCGGGAACATCCCGTGACTGCCCGCCCGCCTTGAGCGCGCTAACCGAGTCGGGCATCGCGCCGCCATCTACTTCACCCTCCGCCTCACTGCGTATCTACCTAGGCCGTAGCATCTCTCTCTCTCCCTCTCTCTCGCCGTCATTGCGCTCTCTCTCCATCACCTTTCCCCGTCCACCGCCATTTCACTCTGGTACCGGTGCGTAATATACCTTCTTCTTATTTGTCCATTTTTCTCCTCCAATGTTCCCTCCGTCACATTAATCCCTGCTCGATTCTGGCCCTTTCCACCACACCCCCTCCTCCGGAGTTCCCTCGTGTGTCTTGCTTACGTCTTCCTCCAGGCTTCTACTCCCGAGCAGTGCTCTCTGTATCGCCCGGCCTGAGCCGCCCTTTGCGAGCTGAAATCATCCTTCAGATTGATAATCATTCCTAGTGTGGGCTTGTCCTGCAAGACGACCTGATCGCATACCTTCATCGCCTTCGTTGGGCTCTCGAGCCATGTCTGAATCAACTAGCACAAATACTCCCAAGCCGAGTAGCAGCGTCAAGCTGGTACTTTTGGGTGAAGCCGCTGTGGGAAAGGTACGAGCAACCTCGGCACTTTCCTTGCTCTGACCTCCGCGTGGTACCTGAGTAACCAGAGAGAAAAAAAGACTGACAATGAACGCAATGGATGATTACCCATTATAGTCCTCACTGGTGCTGAGATTTGTCAACAACGATTTCCAAGAGAACAAAGAACCGACTATCGGAGGTAAGCTTCTCCCGGCTGTGGCAGTTACAGATCACTTTTCCGGTTGGGAAGAGACGGAGGGAAAGGAAGAAGGGAATTGTTCCCGGTTTTCCTAGTAGCCGAAAGTGGCCGTAGCTCCGATGCTGATGTCATTGTCTATCTATCACAGCTGCATTCCTCACCCAAAAATGCTCTCTGCCTACGCGAACGATCAAGTTCGAAATTTGGGATACCGCCGGTCAGGAGCGTTTCGCCTCGCTCGCTCCCATGTACTACCGTAACGCCCAGGCGGCTCTCGTGGTCTATGATGTTACCAAACCGTCCTCTCTCACAAAGGCTAAGCACTGGGTTGCGGAACTCCAGCGACAAGCTAGTCCCGGCATTGTGATCGCTCTCGTTGGCAACAAGCTGGATTTGACAAACGACGGGAACGAGGCGGCCGGGGAGTCGCCCGCTGATGCTGAGGGCGAATCGTCTACGGCCGATGCAGATGAAACCGCCGAAGAACCTCAGGAAGCACAGGATGTCACTTCCGGTGATGCTCGGAAGGTGCCTACACGGGAAGCTAGCGCCTACGCAGAGGAAGAGGGTCTCTTGTTCTTCGAGACCAGTGCCAAGACGGGCACGAATGTCGTGGATGTCTTTACTGCGATTGCCAACGCGATCCCGGAGAGCAGCCTGAAGAGCGGGCGAGCAGGTGGCGCTGGCACGGGCCAGACTAGCTTGAACAGCGGTCGTCCGGCCGAAGACTCGCGGGTCAACCTGGGGGAGCGTGGTCCGGCAACTGCAAAGGAAGGGTGTGCCTGCTAATCTCGGATTGTTTTTGCAGCGTGTCATGAGATTTTGGTCGTGCTTCTTTCGTTTTTGCAATCGTCCTTTTACTGTTCGATACAATGTCAGGTTGATTACATGGTAATATCCTGCGGCAGTGATTCCCCGACCGTCAGGACCAGACTGACATGCGGCTTGATCCATTCTCATTTCCCGGCGTCCCGAGTTTTCTGTTCTGTTTTGCTCTGCTATGGTACTGCACTACTTCTTTATCTTTTTTTCTGTTTGTTTCCAATGACTATGCAGAGTGTTAGTATGGCGATTAAGGGAATGGCAAAGATTTGTACAGAGAACCGGTCAGGTTCATTGCCAATCAGCCATAGTCATAGAATGCGATGCGATCCAAATGCAATGTATAATATGAGGATTAACATGATAGACAAGCAAGCATTTCTCGCAATGCTGCATGGTAGTAGTTGGTTAATGGTTGATGATCCGAAAAGGGCAGAAGGGTCACGGGACCAGACATCCCCTAACTAGGCCCAAACGGGACTACGGCCACCCGCTAAGCGAGAGGCCGAGCCTCCGATCCCACAGCCGACCCAAGCGCAAATTGGAGGACGTTCGAGAGATCTCCGTTCAACCACCAACCTCGACAACCAACCTCACGACAGAAGGCAGCATCCGCAGCACAGCCAGCTACCCGTCGCTCGTCTGCAATCATGGCTGCTATCAACAAGATCGCCATCAACTCGCCGTCGAGGCAGAACCCCTCCGAGCTGGAGACCGCGATCGCCGGTGCTCTCTTCGACCTCGAGAGCAACACACAGGACCTGAAGGCCACCCTCAGGCCCCTGCAGTTCGTCTCTGCCCGTGAGGTAAGGATGATTTGGTTTTTTCATTCATAGCCTCCGTCCGTGTACAGATCAGAGAGGGTCGAGAGTTTTATGAATTCGCGGAAATTGCCAACATACGAGAGACGTTCTGGGAAATATCAAATATCAATGTGGATATTGTGTGTTTGTGCGGTCTGCACCTTGATGGTGTATACGTGTCTGCTTGGGGATTATATACCACCAGCATCGAGGCAAAGACGAGAAAAAGAAGAAGGCGAATTGAAACGTCCCAACAACCAATCGACACTCAACTCTGATCTGCTGCGCGAACTGGGAATTTGAAAAATTCATTTGTTTTTCTCTCGGATTGTGCGCAATTTGATATTGACTCTACTATCACCATAGGTCGAGGTCGGCCACGGCAAGAAGGCAGTCATCATCTTCGTCCCTGTCCCTCTCCTCCAGGGCTTCCACAAGATCCAGCAGCGGTACGATTTTCCACTCCACACCTCCACATGAAACAAAAAAAATACACACCAACCCCGGAATGTGCCAGCCACATGCCCACAACTACCAGAAGCGTAGCAGCAAAAAGAAAACGACACCAGAAACCATATGACTGACTCCCCTTTCTCTAGTCTGACCCGTGAGCTCGAGAAGAAGTTCTCCGACCGCCACGTCCTCTTCGTTGCTCAGCGCCGCATCCTGCCCCGCCCCAAGCGCTCCGCCAGCTCTCGTTCCAACCAGAAGCAGAAGCGTCCCCGTTCCCGCACTCTGACTGCTGTCCACGACGCCATCCTCACCGACCTCGTCTACCCCGTCGAGATCGTCGGCAAGCGTACCCGCACCAAGGAGGACGGCTCCAAGACCCTCAAGGTCATCCTGGACGAGAAGGAGCGTGGTGGTGTTGACCACCGCCTTGATGCCTACGGCGAGGTCTACCGTCGGTTGACTGGCCGTGCTGTTGTCTTTGAATTCCCCCAGGGTGGTGCCGACTACTAGAGAGAGTGAAAAAAAAGGAATCAAATTTTTTTTTCCTCTTTTTTTTCCTTTTTAATTTGACAAGTGACAAATGTGACAAGACAAGAGACTAAAATTTGATTTGACCTTCTTACCTCAATTCTTCTTCTTACTCCGTCCTATTCTCTCCCATTTTTTCTTGCCGTTTCTTCCATATTTTTTTTACTCGTCGATTTCCCTCAGAAAAATCC